CTAAACCCTAAACCCTATTTGATTTTCAGCCGGTCCGAGCCGAAAGCCTCAACTTCTGAAACTCGGCCCTGTGACTGTGAGCCACTCTGCCACTAAACGACGAGTCTGAAAAGGGTTTAGGGTCTTAGAGTTCGGGGTTTGGGGTTTAGGGTTTGCTAGAGTTCAGGGTTAGGGGTTTGGGGTTTAGGGCGTGATACCGAACTCGACACCCTGAACGCTAAAACCCCTTCACTGAGCTTTACAAAACTGCACCACAAACTCTCAAGTTCTATTCAACTCATCCGTATAGGGGTTCAGATTAGGGTTTAGGGTTTTAGGTTTCGGGATTAATCGCGCACATTCGATTTTTATGGTGGGCCCCGAAACTTTTCGTCTGCAATGACCTGTGAAATCTGGCGTGGAGCGTCCGCGAGTCCGGAGTTTAGCATGCCCACTGCGGCGAAGGTCTTCAGCCCTGCCAGGGTTTAGGACTCGTAAACAGCCGAAACCCGGAACCGGACTCCTAAACCCGAGACTTTAGACACGCAGTGAAGCCCTGAATCTTATACTTCTAGCTCATAACCCTAAACCCTAAGCCCCTAAACCCTAAACCCCTAACCCCTAAACCCTAAACCCTAAACCCTAAACCCCTAAACCCCTCAACTCTAAACCCTAAACCCTAAACCCTATAACCCTAAACCCCTAAACCCCTAAACCCATAAGAGTTGAGAGTTTAGGGGGAAGCTCGGCTTTCTAAGTCTCATACTCTCAGACCTTAGAGAACCCAGAGACTCCAATATCCCTGAACTAAGGAATATACCTTAAATCATATTAAGGATCCTACTATAATTTTAGGAATATTCCTTAATTAAGGAATATTGGAGTCTCTGGGAACAAAGACGATATATTTCTGGCTTGGGGCCAAGGCGAGGCTATGCCACTGCTGACAAAGCCCAAGAAAGTCCGTTCCATGCCAGCATGTTTAGCGTATAGGGTTTAGGGTTTAGAAGACTTTTTGGAGGACTTGCCAGAACCCTAAACCCTAAACCCTAAACCCAAAACTTCGGGTTGTCGGTGTCTACAAGCGTTGTATGAGCAGCAAGGAAACTAGAACGGCACACTTTGCACTTCGATCTCGAAGCCCGATGACAACAGTCGCTAACATCCTCGCTCTAAGTGATTACTGTTACGTTCATCGTGCTTAAGCTTGACAACTGATGATCACCCACGTCGTCTTTGTGTATACAAAATTACTGATGATTGCAACAAGACGCGCCAATTCAATTCAAACCTGCATATGCCGAAACCCTGAACCTAGAGAGCTCGATGCTCCTAAATGCAGAACCTCATTGTGCGTAACGTGGTGCAGCTTCAGAACATTCTTTTGCTGAGGGTTCCTTCTAAGCAAGGTGTACTGGTCTCTTTGGTTACTGGGTAGCTTGTTGCGGCTTGGCGGGTCTGGCCGCCCGCTTTTCTTTCAGCTTAGTGGAGCTCGGGCTTGCCTCACAGTGAACCCGAAAACTTTGCAGCAGTCTGGAGCCCTAAACCCTAAACACTATGCTGGCATCGGCAGCTTTCAATTTGTCACACCACTGCGCACACATGGATCCTCGCCTGGCGTGTCCGAGTTGTGAGATTGTAACCCTATAAGAGCCCTAAAACTTTGCAGCCCTAAACCCTAAACCCTAAACCCTATAAGAGCCCTAAAACTTTGCAGCAGTCTGGAGGGTGCCTGGAGATTTGGAGCTAAGATCTGGTGGGATGGAGAGTTTTGGGTTTAGGAGATCCACAGCTTTTCCTGTGTGCTCTCGCCTTAAGAGGGGGTTCAGGTTTTAGGTTTTAAGGTTTAGGTTTCAGGGGTTCAAGGGTTTAGGGGTTTTGGGTGTTGGGTTTGGGGTTTTGCCATGGGTGAGGGTTGCATAGGCGCTGGCCCACACCTCAGTCCGTGTAGCAAAAGGGGACTACGGAGTTGCGGATCGTGACCTGCTCGGCTTTGTGTATTGGCAGACGGCCTTGTCCAAAACCAGACCCCTGAACGGTCAGAGGTCCTATGCCCGATACGGTGTCTGCTTTGCACAAGAAGCCTGAAGATCCCGACGCTCGAAACCCTCAAATCAAAGCTCGAGTATCGTGAGGATGGGTCGAAAGCCCAAACCTTGGCAACATAGTTCTGAGTGATTCGTAGTACTATCCCCTTGTAGTCTGTTCATACGTAATGTATAGTACACACAAAGGCTCCGGCCCGACAACGAAGCCTTCCAATGATGTTCCCATATTTGCTGGAAACATGCCAACTCCGAAGCTCTAGTCCATTCGGGAGTTTCCGAAAATAAGGGGTACCTTATTCTGGGGTCCTTATAGTAAGGATCCTATTATTTAGGGTACTATCTTAGGGTCCCCTATTTTCGGAAACCTCCATTTACGACGCCCGAACCTTAAACCGTAAAACCCCAAGTCCAGCGAGGCCTTGTTGGACAATGGAAGCTTAAGCTGACGGCGACTCGGAGGGTGTTTATCGCAGGGGTTTCTGGGTTTTTTTGGCGGTTGCGGGTTTCAGGCTTAAGGTAGTTCCTTCTTCTTGGATCACTAACGTTTGGAGCCTCAGCCAGCAGTGCTGAGTTTCAGCGCCTGTGCGGACTGACTTGCTGACATTCAGAGCCCAGCTGCAAAAAGGGTGCGTTTTTAGATTTCCAGGGGTGGCGAGTTGAGGCAGTGGGTCGTTCAGCCAGGCTTGCTGCATCCAGGCAGCCCAATTCAATTTACAGAGAAGTTGCACAAACCCTATCACAAAGTCTTGCGACACTATCTTGCATATGTTTTCCGCCCGCAAACACGCGTTGACACATGCCTCGCCTGAGTGTGTGTGTGTGTGTGATAATACCTGATCCCTATGGTGGTAGTAGTAGTAGTAGTAGTAGTAGTAGAAGTAGTAGTAGTAGTAGTAGTAGTAGTAGTAGTGGTAGTAGTAGCCGTAGTAGCAGTAGCAGGAGTAGCAGCAGCAGTAGCAGTAGTAGAAGAAGACAACAGCCGTAACAGTAGTAATAGCAGCAGAAGCAAGAAGCATGTTAGTGTTGTACGATAGTAAATCGAAAACATTGCCCTAAACCCTAAACCCTAAACCCTAAACCCTGGAACCCTAAATCCTAAATCCTAGAAGCCTAAGCCCTAAACTGTAGACCCTGGAACCCTAAACCCTAAACCTTTTATCCTAGAGCCCTAAACCCTAGACCCTACAAACCTAAACCCAAGCCCTAAATCCTAGAACCTATACCCTAATTCCTAGAACCCTATCCATTTGGGGGGGGTTCCTTATTATAACTATAGTAGAATGGGCCCCAAAACCCTATTCTAACTACTCAGACCCCTATATGAAACCCTCGATCCTAGAACCTATACCCTAGATCCTAGAACCATATCCATTTTGGGGGTCCCTTATTCTAATTATAGGATGATGGGCCCCAAAACCTTATTCTAACTATTCAGGCCCCTATATTAAACCCAAAATCCTAGAACCATAACCCCTATTATAGGATGATGGGCCCCCAAACCCTATTCTAATTAGATTATTCAGGCCCCTATATTAAACCCTAGATCCTAGAACCTTATACCAAGGAGATCCAGCACCCTAAACCCTGAACCCTAAACCCCAAATCCTAAACCCTAAACCCTAAACCCTGAACCCAAAACCCTAAACCCTGAACCCAAAACCCTAAACCCTGAACCCTGAACCCTAAACAACCGTAAGCCAAGGAGATCCATCAGTTCGTCGTCCAGGCCGCCGATGCCATGCGATTGAACTGGCCGCCTTCGCCGGAGTCCTTCCAGGACCGGTGGAGAGCCTTGGGGCTCTAGGGTTTAGGGTTTAGGGTTTAGGGTTTAGGATTCCAGGATTTCGGGGTTTTCGGGTTCTACCTTAAGAAACCAAAACCTACTTTTTTGTAGGGTCCCTTTTTTTTGTCCCATATTAGAGTTTATAATAAGAACCTACAAAAGCGTGGGGTTTGGGTTCTTAAGGTAGGGTTTAGGGTTCTAGGATCTAGGACTTCGGGTTCTAGGAGATAGGGTTCAGGGAGGGTAGCACAGTCGGCGCCTTCGTTCCTGGCAAAGGCATAGCCCAGGTGTAAAAACAAGGGTTTAGAGCCTTATCTTGGTTGAAATTTACAGTCACTTTATAGCTTTATCACTTTTAGGATTAGCCTTTTTTGATATTAGGGGTACTAAAAGTTAAAATTTTAGCAAGGTAATAAAGAGCAACCCAGTTATCAAATTTATTAAAGCTCATGGTTTGGAGCATTAATAAAGCTCAGGGTTTAGGATTTCAGGGTTTCGGGTTTGGGGTAGTTGGTTTTAGGGTATAGGGCTTTAGGCATTATAGTGCTTTACGGTTTTAGGGTCTAGGGCTTCAGGGTTAAGGGTTTTGGGGTTTCAGAGATTAGGCTTTCAAATTGGTTGCAGTTTTTGGGGTTAGCGTTTTAGGGATAAAGGTTTTAGGGTTTAGTAACGGGGCGGCTCTTGAGGGGGTTTACAGGGCTTTCATAAGGGCTGAACTCACCAACGAGGGGGTGACGTGTTGCGACGAGGTCACCTTTTGAGGGCCCAATGCCGGATCCTTAGCTATAAAGGACCACCCACTTCAGCGAGCTACTTAGCACCACACTGTACTCTAAACCCTAAGCCCTAAACCCTGAACCCTAAACCCTAAACCCTAAACCCTAAACCCCAAACCCTAAACCCTAAACCCTAAACCCTAAACCCTAAGCCTTTCCTTGATTCTCCCCCTCAGCTCTCAACAGTTCAAGGTTACCCTCTGCGGTGCGACATAGTCAGCTGGGCGTTTGGGGAAAAAAGCCTTAACACCTGGGTAGTTCTTTAAATTAGGGTCCCTTTTCGGGTCCTTTGTATAAGGGTGCCGTAATATTGATAATTTGGGACCTAAAAAGGGACCCTAATTTAGAGAACTACCCACCTGGAGGAGCTGCCACGTCCTATGTCCTCGATCGTGGATCCTGCATGGCTCCAGCGTCCGGACCACCAAGGCGCAGCACCCAGAAGGGTGGTTATCAAAATTATGGTCCCTTTTTGGGTCCGTAATATAATAGGGCACCTAATATTTAGGGTATCAAAAAGGGACCCTACTCTGACAACCACCCAGAAAACACGGGGTTTTCGGGTCTACCTTAAGTTTATCTTCAGCTACCCAAAAGCCTGTTTTTCTTCGTAGGTTCTTTTGGTCCTAGACCTTAGTTTTGGGTTGATACGGATAGGTTCTGGTAGGTGAAGGCAGGGTGTAGAGTTCAAGCTTTAGAGTTCAGAGTAGGGTAGGTTTAGGGTCTAGGATGCAGGCAGATGTACGGTTTGCTCTACAGCGAACTAGCACAACTGCTTCAAACCAGGCCCTGGTGCCCTAGGCTTTGGCTTTACAGGAGTCTATACAAAGCCAGGGGCTCGTTCAGACACCTGCTGTATCAGAGGCTTACATAATTGGGCGGATTGTATATGGCTGAGCTGAAGGCATGTTGCATGACAGCCACCAAGTACATCCGAGGTCCCACATCTTCGCACGCACGCCTTTCGAGATCCCTATCGTTAACCCCGAACCCTAAACCCTAAACCCTACACTTTATAACACAAATCCCGAAACGCTTAACCCTTCATTCTGCGGTTCTGTCGACGCACAGGACGAAGCCACTTGAGGTTCCGGCTTCAGGGTACGATCATTAGGAGTGATGTTCGAGCTTAAACAGTTCTGAAAGATAGCGTTTGCATTTTGGCCGTAAGGGGCTTGGGGGTACGGGTGTGGCCGACTTTCTTATGAACAAAATCAGAGCCTGCGTTCAATGAATACTTAGTTTAGGGTGTAGGGTGTTAGGGTTTAGGATGTAGTCTTTATAGGACTAGTAAGCCGCAAGACCCAATTCCATATGGGTAGTTCTCTAAATGTAGGTCCCTTTTTAGGTCCCA